GTCTTTGTACATGTCTTCTTTCAATCAAATAAAGGCAGCATATGTGAAAGAGTTGCCAAGGAAAGTGAACACTGTGTAGAATAAAACCAGGCTATGGCTGGGACAGTTTGTGTTACATAAATGGTGGTTTTACATGGTATTTACTGTCTTTTGCTGTACTGTTATGAATCACTGTAACCCTGACTCTTCCACAAAGACCCACATATCATCTCACACAAAGCATGTCTTTTCAATATCTCTTGTCTACAGAAAATTCATTCATCCTCTCACCCAAAACATGTCTTTTTACATGCCTTCTTTCACAAAGGTTCACATATCTGTCCCACAACAAACCATGCCTTCTTTCAAAAGCTCTTCACAGATAACACACATATCTTCCCTCACAAAAACCATGCTGGTTTCAAAAGACTCTATCATCCCCAGAAAATTCACACATCCTCTCACCCAACACATGTCTTTTTACATGTCTTCTTTCAATGAAACAAAGGCAGCATATGTGAAAGAGTTGCCAAGGAAAGCGAACCCTGTGTAGAATAAAGCCAGGCTATGGCTGGGACAGTTTGTGTTACATAAATGGTGGTTTTACATGATATTTACTGTCTTTTGCTGTACTATTATGAATCACAGTAACCCTGACTCTTCCACAAAGACCCACATATCATTTCACACAAAACATGTCTTTTCAATAACTCTTCTCTACAGAAAATTCACATATCCTCTCACCCAGAACATGTCTTCTTTCACAAAGGTTCACATATCCTCTCACCAAAACATGCCATTTTTCAAAGGCTCTTCCACAGCAAATTCACTTATCTTCCCACACAAACCCCTTCTTTTCAAAGACCCTTCCACAGAATATTCACACATCACCTCACACAAAGCATGTCTTTTCAATAACTCTTCCCTACAGAAACTTCATTCATCCTCTCGCCCAAAACATGTCTTTTTACATGCCTTCTTTCACAAAGGTTCACATATCCTCTCACCAAAACATGCCTTTTTCAAAGGCTCTTCCACAGAAAATTCACATATCTTCCCACACAAACCATGCCTTCTTTCAAAGACTCTTCCACAGAAAAATTACACATCCTCTCACCAATCACATGTCTTTTTACATGTCTTCTTTCAATGAAACAAAGTCAGCATATGTGAAAGAGTTGCCAAGGAAAGGGAACCCTGTGTAGAATAAAGCCAGGCTATGGCTGGGACAGTTTGTGTTACATAAATGGTGGTTTTACATGATATTTACTGTCTTTTGCTTTCAACCTGTTTATGAAACACTGTAACCCCTGACCTTCCACAGAATATTCACACATCATCTCACACAAAGCATGTCTTTTCAATAACTCTTCTCTACAGAAAATTCATTCATCCTCTCACCCAAAACATGTCTTTTTGCATGCCTTCTTTCACAAGGAAACACATATCCTCTCACCAACCCCATGCCCTTTTTCAATGGCTCTTCCACACAAAATTCAATTCACATATCCGCCCACACAAACCATGCCTTCTTTCAGAGGCTCTTCCACAGATAA